GGGGGAGACGCGGGTTTTTTGTAAATTTTTTTTTTATTTTTTAAAAGGCTTTTAAAAAATTTTTTTGGATTTTTTAAATAATAAATGTGTGTTCCGAGGCCGGAGCACATACTCCGCACTCTCCGCACTAACCGCCGGGGATAAGGGCCACAATTAGCACTCTTAACACCAGCAGTCAGGAAATCAAAAGATGGATTGCATTGGGAAAATCTGCTGCCAGGGACCTCTCCAGAGTGCTGAAAAACAATGACAGTCTAGAGACTAAGGTGCACCTAATCCAGGCCATGGTCTTCTCAATTGCTTGCTATGCCTTTGAGAGCTGGACAATGACTAAGGATGGCAGAAGAAGAGGAATGTTGAACACACCATGGACTTCCAAGAGAACAAATATCTCTGTCTTGAAGAGGGTAAAAAGCCAGGTTGCTTCTTGGGGTCATGGATTTTGAAGCTCCATGTCATACACTTTGGGCATGTTGCCATGAAGGTTCTTAGAGAGGGACTTTGTGCTTGCAAGGATAGAGATTCAGTGCAGGAGGGGAAGATCCTAAATGAGGTAGATTGGCACAGTGACTGTGGCAATGAGGTCAGGTGTGCTGGAGATGGTGAGATTGGCTCAGGATAGTGCAAAGTTCAAAGCTATTTTTCATAGGGTCATTATGAGCTGTAGTCAACTCAGGGGTACAAAATAAGAACAATGTTAACTGAAAGTACAGAACAATTCTATCTTAGAAATACAGCGAGAATATTCCTTAGAGGAGAGGATGTTGAGACTTCCTAGCACTCACTTTGGTCATGTAATCAGAAAGGATCATTACTGACGAAGCACATCAAATTTGGTGGTGGTGGTTGTTGTTAAGTGCTGTTGAGTTGAGTATGACTCATAGCGACCCTGTGAACAGCTGATCTGAGACCTGCCCTATCCTGTGCCGTCCTCATCATCTCTGATACACTAGAGCCCATTGCTGAAGTCACCCTGTCAATCCAGCTCCTTGGAGGTCTCCCTCTCCTTCGCTGACTTTCCATTTTTCCAAGCATGATGCCCCTTTCTGAGGAATAGCCTTGCCCAGCTACATGTCCAAAGGATGAGAGATGAAGCTTCACCATCTTTGCCTCCAAGGAGCACTCTGACTGCACTTTTTCCAAGACATATCTGTTTGTTCTCTTGGCACTCCATGGGATATTCAACATTTTTCTCTAGAACCTCATCTCAAAAGGCATAAATTTTTCTTCTGTCATCCTTACTCATTGTTCAGCTCTCTGATACATAGCAGGTGATTGAGAAGATTACAGCTTGAATCAGACACACCTCAAAACCCAAACTCACTGTCATAGAATCTGTCATTCTGACTCATGACTACTCTCCATGAGGTTTCCAGGCTATGAACCTATAGTGGAAAAGACTGCCCATCTGACTCCCACAGAGCAACTGTTAGATTTGAACTGTCAACCTTTTGCCTAGCAGCTCAACACAGTAATGCACTATAAGAAGAAAATCCAGGGGCTGCAACAGTATTCTTAAATGTATTCCTATAGTGAGTGTAGCACAGGACCAAGTGACATCTGTCTGTAGACATGGTTGCTGTGAGTGAGAACCAACTCCATAGCACCTAATGAAGGAAGTAGTGCATCCAAAACTAAAGCAGCTATCGTGGGATCTGTACCATGTATGAAGGGTCATATGTGCGTCAAAGTAGAACTATTCCATAAAGTTTTCAATGGTAATTTTTCCAAGGTAAATTGTCAGCTTTTTTTTTAATGCCTCCAGACTCCTCTCTAATCTTTTAATTAGCAACAGACTTATTAATATTTGCATTATTCTAGAACTAATATTTGCATAGATGACTCTGTAATGAAGTCTTAATTCTTTGCCAACTCCTGTCCCCAGTCACAGACAACTGTGTCAACTTTATTTTTATTATGCTTAACTCACTGCTAATTTTTGAAAACAGATATTTCCTTATACCTTTGTAGCCAAGACTTCCTCAAATCTCTCCATTGGTTTCCAACCATGATAATAACTTCTAATGTGATTTTCAGCTTGCACAATGCAATTTTAAACTTATTTTCTTTTTTAAACATCTTTCCCATAGTACCTGTGATAATATGGCTGACATGGACCTTCCTGACAGTTCTGATAAACATACCCATTATTGTAGAATTGATATTAACTTATAATGACTTTCCATCAGTTTCCTAAGCCTGCAAATCTTTAAGGGAGGAGACTCTCCCAAGGACTGACAGTTGTATTCCCACAGCTAACTCAGTTTTCCTCTATGTTGTCCACTATGGCACCAGAGCTCCTGTATGCCACCATATCTGAACCCTGCCCCATCCTGAGTCATCCTTAGTCTCTGATATGGGCTCAGGCCCATTTTCATAGTCAATGTGTGGTCTAACTTGTTGAAGGTCTTCTTCATTCTCTAATCTTCCCCTTTTCACAAGGACTAATCCCTCCTGACAATAGTCTCAAAACATGTGAGAAAAAGCTTTGCCATTCCTGTCTCTAAGGAGCAACCTAATGGCCTCTCCTTTAAGATAGACTTGTTCTTTTGACAATCCATGAAATATTCAGCACTCTTTTGTAGCACCAGGCATTGATACTTCTGTCATCTTTGTTCATTTTTCAACTTTTAGATCCATTGGAAGTAATTGAAATGACATGACTTGGCCCAGGAGCACCTTAGTCTTTAAACTGACATCATTGCACTTTAGAAAAGTCTTAGACTTTTCCCAGTGCAACATAGTCGACTTGATGGCATGCAACAATAATAACAGAAGAGTTAATTCAATATTATTATGAAGATTGCTTATCTTGGCAAGACTTTTACATTAGAATATACTGCGGATAGAACTAAACAGATGACTTTTAAACAAAGATGACATTTTTAATGAGGCTGATGGCCACTGAACATCCCAATCAATCCTTGCTCCAGATATTATACATCTCACATTATGAGAAAATAGAAAACACAGGATTTCCTATGCTTGATTCCTCCCAATTAAACTCAAATCTAATCAAGGCATAGATCTAATTAGCTGTTTACAAGAGATTTGTTGTTTTTGTTATTGTTGATAGTTGCCCTCAAATTAAGGAGTACAACTGTACAAACCTATGAACAACTGATCTGAACACTGTCCTATCCCATGCCATACTCACAATCTCTGACCCACACAACTCTATTACTTCACTTACCATGTCAACCCCTCTGGTTAAGATCTCTCTTGCCGTTCCTCCACCTTCCAAGCATGATGTCCCTCTCCAAGGAATAATCTCTCCTAGCAACATGCCCAAAGTATGTGAGATGACGCTTCATTATCATTGTCTCCAAGGAGTACTCTGGCTGCACCTTCTCCAAGACATATCTGTTTCTTCTTTTAGCAGTCCATAGGATCTTCAGCACTCTTCGTCAACACAGCAACTCAAAGGTATCAATTTTTCTTCTCTCATCCTTAGTCATTGTCCTATTCTTGGATGCATAGAAAGTGACAGAAAAGACCATGGCCTGAATTAGGTGCACCAGAGTCCTTACACTGACATCATTACTCCTCTCTAATTTGGAGAGGTGCCTAACTACAGACTTTTCCAGTGGTATGCTGTGGGGAAAATCTTGAATGATCCGTGAAACATGAAAAGAAGATGGAGAGAATACACAGAGTCACTGTGTCAAAAATAATTAGCCAACCGTGAAATACTTCAAGAAGTACCATATGATCAAGAGCCTATGATAATGAAAGAAGACAGTCAAGTTGCACTGAAAGTATTGGCAAAATATTAAGTCCACAGGAATCAATATGCTACCAATTGGGATGTTTCAAATTACAGATGCAGCCCTGGATGTGCAAGTTACAGATGCATTCCTGGATGTGCTCACCAGTCTATGCCAGGAAATTTGGAGGACAGCTGCCTGGCTGACTGACTGGAAGAGACCCATGTTTGTTCCCATCCCCCCAAAAAGTGATCCAACATAATGTGGAAATTATCAAACAATATCACATGCAAGAAAAATACTGTTGAAGATCATGGGGAAAATGTCCAGAACAGTACATAGAGCACCAACAAACATTCAAGCTGGAGTTAGAAGAGCTTGTGACATCAGGGATGTCATTGCTGATGTTAGATCCTGGCTGAAAGGAAAGAATATCAGAAAAAAGGTCTAGTTGTGCTTTTACTATAAAGGCATTTGACTGTGTTTATCATAACAAATTATGGCTAACATTGAGAAGAATGGGAATCCCAGAACACATAATTATGCTTATATGAAATCTATACCTAGACCACAAACAGAGCAAGGGAACACTACATAGGAAAGGTGTACATCAAAGCTGTATCCTTTCTCCATACCTATTCAATCTGTACACAGAAGAAATCATTCAAGAAGCTGGATTCTATGAAGAAGAATGTGGTATCCGGATCAGAGGAAGACTCATCAACAATTTGTGTTATGTAGACGACATAACCTTGCTTGCTGAAAGTAAGGAGGATTTGAAGTGCTAGCTGCAAAAACTATAGCCTTTAATATGGATTGCATATCAACATCAAAAACCAAAAGTCCTCACCATTAGATCAATAAGCAACATCATGATAAATGGAGAAAAGATTGAAATTGTCAAGGACTTGATCTTCAGTCTACAATTAACACTCTTTTTACCAACAGCCAGGAGATCAGGTGATATATTGCAATGGGAAAATCTACAATCAAGGACCTCTCCAGATTACTGAGAAGCAACGATGTGAATTTGAAGACAAAGGTGTGCCCGATTCAGGTCAGGGCCTTTTCAATACC